AAAGGGAAAGCGGAGGACGGACAAATTGCGGGGGAGGTCGGACAAACGCGGTCGGACAAAGGTAAGGGTCCCGGCGGGGCCCCACCAACCCTCGCAAAAGGGCGCCCGGCCGATTCCGAGCCTGGCTGCTCGCTCTGTCCGCCTCCCCGCGTGCAGCCGCGCCACAGACCGCGAGCAGCCCGCGCCGCCGCGGCCAAACCCGATTACGATTTTAATCGCCCTAATGAAAATTGCGCACGGATCCCGCCATGCCTCGTTCGTTTCTCGTTTGCTGAAAGCGGAAAAGGGGGGGGAGGGGCAGCGTCTGGACGGACGAGTCCACCAGGACGAGGGGGAGGAGGGGGGGGGGGAATGAATGGAAGAGAACGGGTTGGTTGGGGTTTCGATTAAAATGAAGAGGCAACTCGAGCGGAGGGGACGGACCGTGGCGGGGCGGGGCGGGGCGGGGCGGCCAAAGGAAATGACCCGCGGAGCGGAGGCGCAACCAACCCTGTAACGGGCAGACCAGCAGACCGATTCCGAGATTCCTTCTCGTCGCTCTGTCTCTCTCACGCACTCGTGGGTCACCACGTAGAGGTGCGAGAGAGACGCTGCGACGAAAACGACTCTCGGAATCGGTCCGCGGTCCGCAGGGCGCCGGATCGGGCGGCAATCATCTCGCGCGGCCAGAGACAACGACAGTATGAATAAGGAAATAGCGGGGAAAATAAAAGAGTTGTAATTAGAATTCCCCCTTTTTCCTTAAAAGAAAAGGAACATTAAGTGGCTCTGCTCTTTTTTTCCTCGGGTTAGGTTTGGATTTCCTGCACGGGTTGAGAGCGCGGGCCGCGGGCCTCCGGGCCAAGTAAGCGGGAAAGAAGCAGTGTGCCAGGCGTGCCGCTCGCTGCGTGCGCCGGCCCACTGCGAGGGGATGGCCAAACAGACCTGGGGCAATTTTCATGTAAATATTTGACATTAGGCAGTGAAGGCGCAGGCGAGCACGGCATCCAGGCTGCCGGCATCCAGCGGCTCCAGCGGTGTTCCGGGCTCGGCTCCAGGTCCCGCCGTCCCGGCCGCCTGTTGTATTGTGCCGTAAAAGAGAAAGCAGGGTCTTCTTCCGACCCGGTCCCGACCCCTTTTTTTTTATACCGACCCATTGTGTTCGATATGGGGCCGGGCGGCCAAAAAGAGGAAACGACCCTGGCGGGGGCCAAGCAGGCTGAGCAGCAGACTGATTCCGAGAGTCGTTTCCGTCGCTCTCTCTCTCTCTCTCTCTCTTTTCCCCTCTCTCTCTCTCTCTCTCTCTCTCTCTCTCTCTCTCTCGCACTCGAGGGGCGTCCCGTGTGGGTGCGAGTGAGACAGAGCGACGGAAACGGCTCCTCGGAATCCGCCTGCAGGCCGACGAGGGACCGGCGCACCCCGCGCTAATGGTTTGCTTTTCCACCTGAGCCAATAAAAAAAGACGCAACGAGCACGAAAACGACCAACTCGTCCCGGCCGGGACGGAGCGGAGCAAAAAAAAGGCTACTTTCGAGCGGGTTAGTCGCGTTGGTCACACCGGTCCGGTCTCCACGAAACGGGACTTTGGCCAATTTTCCGCAAATTGACATGGAGGCAGGTGAGGCGCAGGCGAGCACGGCATCCAGGCTGCCGGCATCCAGCGGCTCCAGCGGCTCCAGCGGTGTTCCCGGCTCGGCTCCAGGTCCCGCCGTCCCGGCCGCCTGTTGTATTGTGCCGTAAAAGAGAAAGCAGGGTCTTCTTCCGACCCGGTCCCGACCCCTTTTTTTTTATACGGACCCATTGTGTTCGATATGGGGCCGGGCGGCCAAAAAGAGGAAACGACCCTGGCGGGGGCCAAGCAGGCCGAGCAGCAGACTGATTCCGAGAGTCGTTTCCGTCGCTCTCTCTCTCTCTCTCGCACTCGAGGGGCGTCCCGTGTGGGTGCGAGTGAGACAGAGCGACGGCTCCTCGGAATCCGCCTGCAGGCCGACGAGGGACCGGCGCACCCCGCGCTAATGGTTTGCTTTTCCACCTGAGCCAATAAAAAAAGACGCAACGAGCACGAAAACGACCAACTCGTCCCGGCCGGGACGGAGCGGAGCAAAAAAAAAAAAGGCTACTTTCGAGCGTGTTAGTCGCGTTGGTCACACCGGTCCGGTCTCCACGAAACAGGACTTTCACCAAAGTTCCGCCAAATCGGCATGGAGAGCAGAGCGTTGCCGACGGCAAAAGAGGCGACCTCTTTGCTCGGTGACATCCAGGATGGCTCGACCCACCCACCGTTTGAGTCCTTCTGCAGACGCTGTCATTCGACTCCAGGCCCTGGCGTATCTGAGTCCGAGCTGAGCTTTCGCAGCCCCGTCTCTCTCTGCCCAGCGGGCCGCGCCGTGAGTGCGAGAAGGACAGAGCGAACGAGACACGCACCGTGGTCTGAAAGTGACTGCTCTCGCACCATCTGCAGTCCGATCCCGAACGGCGCATGTCTCTCTCGCTCCCCTCCGGGTCCCCCCCGTGAGGGCGAGAGAGACAGAGAGCGTGGAGGTTCAGCATCAGCCGGCAAGTCGCACATTACTCCTTTTCGAATCAGTGCCAGTCGAAGTGGCCCGCTTCTCTTACGTCGGCGCGCCGCGCACAGTGCACCCCCCGGTCGCCGCCACCCCCACAGTGTGCCCACACCGCCTCCCGGCGCGGGGTATCGCCGCAGCGGGCGCCGCCGGGCCGGACACACCCCGCGCCGCAGAGACTCCGCGCCGAAACGCGGACGCGCGGACGGCGGGAACAGAGGGCGCTGCCTGCACTGCAGAGACATCGACCAGCGCGATCGGCCTCGCGGGGGGGGGGTGGGGGGGGGGTGAAGTGGGCATTGGCGAGTCCACCACCACGTGCTCGAGGTGATGCAGACCCAGACCTAGACGGCCGGGCCGGGCCGCGCTCTGCCACGGTCCGACACGCTCTCCCGCCGCGCCGCCGCGCCGCCAGGCGCCCAGGCGGACCATACTCTGACGCAAACCGCCCCCCAAACGCCTCTCCGTCCGTCCGCCTGTCTGTCTGTCTGTCTGTCTGTCTGTCTGTCTCGTCTGTCTGTGCGATTGTCATCCCCGTCACTCAGACCCTCACCCGGCCCGTCCCGTCCACTGCACTGTGCGTAACGTGTAGCGTAATCGATTGAGTGGGCTTCACCTGCCGTTTGATCGGCTCATGAAAACGCAAGTGGCATCGACGCGAGGCGGGGGTGTCGGCCGGGACGCTCTCCACCACGACGACGACGACGACGACGGGGAAGAACGCGCGGGCCAACAAGGGGGACCAACAACTGGAGCGGGGCGTCTCGGGTGACAAAGGAGGCTGCAGGCTCTGCGCCCTCTCGTCGCTCTGTCTCTCTCGCACTCACGGGGCGTCCCGCAGGGGTGCGAGAGAGACGGATCTCTTCGCGGAACCGCCCGCCAGCGCCGAAGCGGCCCCGCGGATTTAGGGTATAGAAAGAGAGGAAACAAAGTGAGCGCAAGCGCCGAGTTGAGCAGTATTTGAACCTCCACCCCCCACCACCCTCCAGCCCGACTCATTCGCATTGTCTATTGAGACCAATTGGCACAGCAGGTTCCGTGCGAAGGCCGCAGTACAAAGCGCAAAGGAAAGCCCGCCCAGTGCCCCGGACTTGCTGTCGAGTCTCCAGCGTTCTGCTGCCCCCTCCCCTCCCCCGCCTCCCCCTCAAGAGCCTGACGTCACTCTTGACAATACGGCCGCCACAATGCACCCCCCCCCCCCCCCCGCCGACGGCCTACGTAACATGTCGTCCTTGTGCTCCTTGTGCTCCGTCCCGAGGGATCCGAAAAGGAACAGGACAGGAAATCGCCTTATCTCTCTTATCAGTCGCTGCTCCGCGGATGAGCCAGCCCACTACAGTGTCGAGGGCCCCTGCCAGCTCCCCTGCCAGGTAAGTACACTGCAGACCACCCACCAGCACACCCTTGAATTTGCACCCGGGACCCAGCAAGTCTACGAGTACTCTCCACCCTGCAAGTCTTCGAGTACACTCTAGACCTATTCCGGGGGCCGTTTTCATCGCTCTGTCTCTCTCGCACTCATGGTGGGCGTGTTCCGTACGGGTGCGAGAGAGAGAGAGAGAGAGAGAGAGAGAGAGAGAGAGAGAGAGAGAGAGAGAGAGAGAGAGAGAGAGAGAGAGAGAGAGAGAGAGAGAGAGAGAGAGAGAGAGAGCGATGAAAACGACCTCCGGAATCAGTCTGCAGGCCCAGGCTTGGCGCAGGTACCGCTTGACCCACATTCCCCCGCTGTCCCGCACGCACACACACACACCACGCCACGCCACGGACACAGGGCTGGACATCCGACGAGTGGCAAAGGTGTTTCGCATGACCTGCTGCCCGCTTATCGCTTTACAACAAGCACGGGCTGGACAGAGGAAAGAGGGGGGGGGGCAGTGACGCACGCGGAGGGGGCGGGGTGCTCGCCCTGCATCGCTTGCTGCAAACTCGGTGGGGCGTTCAAACCGCACAGGGCGAAGTTGAGCCCGGGCGGCGAGCGGAGGCCCGGGCCCGGGACGGCCCCGTGGTCCGGCCCGGTGGCGGCAACAGAGTCAGCCAGGAGGAAAGAAAAATAAAACTACCGGCTGGCTGGTCCGCAACGCATACTTTCGTCTGCTCGGCGCGGTGCAAGCGGGGAGTATGCGAAGAACACCGTCGACAACAAAAACAACAGCAACAGTGTAGGCAGCGCTCCGGCCTCCGCGTGAAAGGGATGAGCCGGCCGCCAGCCACTCCGTCGCACTCATGGGGCACCCCATAAGGGTGCGAGTGAGACAGAGTGAGTGGAGACAGAGCGGCACACTGGGCGAAGCGCTCTTTGAAAGGCGGGCCCGGCGGGCGAGCGCGCCTGCAGCGGCGGGGGTATGCAATCCGCTCGGCAGGGCTGCGCGGCCCGCGGAGCGTTGCCTACCTCACATTGCCATTACCATTAAGGGCTAGACCTCGCACGGCGCCCCACCGCCGTAGGATGCTACTCACCCAGCAGTGCCTGGAAGAGCCTGGACTTGAATATCCGGATGACGCGCTCGATGGCCACGCGGAGGTGCCTGTCCTGCGGGTCCTTGAGCTGGGCGTAGTAGTCCTCCAGGAGCTCCAGGGCACGGTGCGCCTCTGCCGAAACAATCTTCAATTAGCAAAACAAAGATATTAACTGTTTTTCTTTTTTTTTTCAATTTTAATTTGCGTCACGCACAGGTTGGGAGGAACGCGGCATGACCCGCCGTGGTTCCAATCTCTCCCCCCTTCTCTCTCTCTCTCTCTCTCTCTCTCTCTCTCTCTCTCTCTCTCTCTCTCTCTCTCTCTCTCTCTCTCTCTGCCGAAAAGGAGCGAGCAGCACCAAGGGGTTTCGCTTGAAAGGTCCGGCCAGCTCGCTCTGGCTCCGACTCTCTACTCTCCGCTCCGTCCGGCGCATTCACGGACGGAGCGGCACGGTGATTTCAGCTGCCCGTCAGGAGAACACGGCGAAAAAAACAACAACCAAAAAAGAAAAAAAGGTGTGGCCTCTATTTTATATTTTTGGCAGTGCACCGACCGGGCCGCGGACCGGCAGCCCCAATCAAAGGCGGAATAATGCATCGGGGACCATAAGCTGGCGTAATATCCGTCGTCTGAACGGGCCTCGGCGACGAGCGGCCCAAACCACCCCGAACCACGGCGATAATTGCTAATTATAATCTGTGGAGTCTAATTAAGGTCCCTGGCTGGACTACAATGAGCACGCGAGGAGGGGGGGGGAGAGGGGGGGGGGGGAAGGGGGGGAGGAGGACTATCGGTGTGCTGCAAGTTGGAGTCGACTCGAAAATGAGCAATCGGGGGATCGAAGAGGGCTCTCCACTGGAGACTCCAGCCACTCCAGCCACTCATCCACTCGGCAGTTGGAGAGGCTGCCCGACAGGCGGAGCCAAAGCAGTGCCAATCCGACACGAACTGCGACACGCGGACACGCTTCGTGCAGCCGGACGCGCCTTGAACGCGTTTTCGAGGGGGGCGATCATTGTTTGCGTTGAATTCTGCATGGGCGGAACGTGTATATACCTCGAAGTCTCGAAATCCCGAATCGACCGATGGCGGCACCGTTTTCGCGCTCGCCACCGGCAAACGCCCTCGAGCGCACAGGCGCCGCCGTCACGTCACGCCACGGCCAGTCACGCGCGTGACGTGCCGTGACGTGCAGGCCAGAGAGTCGTCGCTCTGTCTCTCTCGCACCTATGCGGCGCGCCCCGTGAGTGCGAGAGAGACAGAGCGACGACTCTCGGATTCGGTCTGCAGACTATTAGCACGGAGGGGCGCCGCGAGGCGATACGAGTGTCATTAAGTGGAGCGCGCCGTCGCCGGCGCCGGCGGCCAAAACTCTAAACGCGTTTTGAGCTGCAGAGTCGCCAAACAGGACTCGAACCGAACGTGTGACCCCACCAATGGATTCCTCGTTCGGAGAGCCATCCATTGGTGGGGCCACACGTTGGGTTCGAGTCCCGTTCAGCGACTCTGGAGCTCAAAACGCGTCCGGGCTTTCGGCCGCCTCCACCGGTCTTCTGACCCACTGTGAGGGCCGGGCCGGGTCGGGGCGTGAGTGCGTCGGGCGGCCTGTCCCGTGTCCCCCGTGCCACCGGCTAGCTCTGGCTGGCTGGCCCACTCCACTGTGCGTGGCGGCGTGGCGGGGGATCGACTTCTCTATTAATACGGGCCCGCATCGCACCGATCGGACGAGACCCGCAGCCCGAACGGGGAGGGGCGGGGGGAGCAGCAGAACAAGAATGTTAAATATAGTGCTGCCACCCCCCGCCCCCCTGCCGCCCCCCGCCGTGCCGCGCCGAGGTGCCACCGACTTAGACGCGGCCAAGAACACGGTGGGCGCGAGTCGGCGGGGGAGGGGGGGAGGGGAGGGGGGGATGCGCGGCCGAAGGTCTCACACCTCCTCGCCGCTCTTACTACACACGCGTACACCCGTAGTCTAATGTCAGCGGGAAAGAGCAGGGGCGGGGGGAGGGGGGCCGTCCACCCCCGATTCACTCCCACCCCGCCCCACTAAGGGTGCCCCAGCCACAGGGCCCACAAGGGCGGCAGGCGGCGGCAGGCAGCCATTGCCATTGTCTGCTGTTACCAGTTTCCAGACAACAGCGCGGCGCCCTTCTCCGCGTGTTCCGACGTTTGCACTCGACTTGAATGCTCGAATGCTTATCGCGCGGCGGCGCGGTGGCCTGGTGGCGCGCACGTCAAAACTCGCAGTCAACCAGTCAGCGCGACACAAGGCGCGCCGGGGCACAAGGGACAGAAGGAAGGGGGTCGAACCGAACCGTGCGTCCTTGGCAGTGTGTGTGTGTGTGACCCTTAATGAATGCCGTGACCGATGCACGGACGTCCCAGCGTCGACAGTCGTCAAAGTCGGTCACGTGAGTGCAGTATCCCGTTCGCCAATTTATGAGTCACTCAGAACGAAAACAACAAAAAGGTCCTGTTTTTGTACCGCGTTTTCACAGTTGAGGATCGTTTTTTCTTCTCGCGTGGAATGGATATCCTTGAAATGCGCCACGCACGCGGGGTGTTCTCACTCTCGAGTAAAAGTAGAGGGGCTTCCGTGCGAGTCACTGCCTCCACCTTGACGTCATGACGTCATCTGCATTCTGTATACAGGGCGCCGCTCTGCAGAGCATGCCGGCCTCGCTGTGCCTCGCAGACGCCCCTGCAGACTCATTCCGAGAGTCGTTCTCGTCGCTCTGTCTCTCTCGCACTCACGGGGCCTGCCGTATGGGTGCGAGAGAGACGGAGCGGCGAAAACGACTCTCGGAATGAGTCTGCAGACGCCCGAGGCGCTGGCCTCCGCGCGAAAAAAGAGAGGAAATAACACAAACAAAGAGCAAAAAGCGTGTAGTGGTGCACCTCTCTCAAGGCCGCTCCGCCGCACCGCCCAGAAGGGTCCCGTCCGATCCACATTTCTTTAAGGAAAGTGAGAGTTCGCGGCCCCGCCTCGCCCCGCCTCGCCCCGCCTCGCCCCGCCTCGTAGCATCGACGAGGAGTCGACCCAAGTTTGCGTCATATGAGGAATATCTCGGACCATGGACCCCTCGACGCGGCGCGGCGCGGCGTGGCCCGCGGCCAAGAAGCGCGTGGGAACCAGGGAACGGGGGAAGGGGCGCAGGCGCCCGGCAGTTCGCTGGCTTTCCTAACACGCGGCCCGCGCTTTCACTACCACCATGTCTGGGACGGGCGGGGCGCCACACCGCGTCACACTCCGTGTCGCCGCGTCACACTCCGTGTCACAGTCATGTCATACTTCGTGTCACCACCGCGTCACACCCCGTGTCATCACCGCGTCACACTCCGTGTCACAGCCATGTCATACTTCGTGTCACCACCGCGTCACACCCCGTGTCACCGCGTCACTTTCCCGCCCCAAGGGTCGTTTTGTCCCTGTCGCACTCACGGGGCGTCCCGCTCAGGTGCGAGAGAGAGAGAGAGAGAGAGAGAGAGAGAGAGAGAGAGAGAGAGAGAGAGAGAGAGAGAGAGAGAGAGAGAGAGAGAGAGAGAGAGAGAGAGAGAGAGAGAGCGACGAAACTGCTCTCGGAGTCAGTGTGCTGGAGAGCACCGGTGCGGGCAGCGGGCGCCTTTTGTGTGTTCCGCCGACCGAGCAAGAAGCAAAGCGCTGCAGCCAGCCGAGCCCGGCCGAGCCATCCGAAGGGTCCTTCCGTCGCTCCGTCTCCGTCGCACTCGTGGGGCGTGCCGGCGTGCCGTGAGGCGCGAGAGAGACAGAGCGACCGGCCCCGCTGGCGCTGCTGGCCTACTTCTCCAGCCGCCTTCCGCCTTCCACTGCGATTGCCTGCAGTCCGGCCTGCCACTCGGCCTTCAAAGGACTCGTCCCGCCCCGCCTCCACCGGTCTTCTGACCCACTGCTAGAGCCGCCAGGGCCGCCAGGGCCGCGGTCGAAAGGCCAACCAAGGCAAACGTGGCTGTTGCCTCCCCCGCGCCACGCACGGCCACGCGCCCTATCAAATATTGAGGCTGTAGACTGATTCGGAGAGTCGTTTGCGTCGCTCTGTCTCTCTCGCACTCAAGGGCGCTCCGTACGGGAGTGAGAGAGACAGAGCGACTCTCGGAATGAGTGCTTGGCGGGAAAGCCCCGCGGCGGGCCTGCCAACACAAAGGACCCACACGCCACGCGACGCCGCGACGCCACGCATCCGCTATCGGAAAAGTGAGGGGTATTCGGCGGCCTCGGCGGGGACGGCCAAGGCTGCCAAGGCCAAGGTGGAGACTGTCTCTCTCGCACCCATACGGGAGGACCCGTGAGTGCGAGAGAGACAGAGCGACTCTCGGAATCAGTCTGAACTGAAGGGCCGCGGTATCGACGGAGCAGCTGACGCGGCTAATCTTGGCGCGGGTAAGGCAGGGCAGGGCCGGGCAGGGCCCCGCAGAGCCCCGCAGGGCACGCCAGCCTGGTCGACTTATTATTAATGTGACTGGCATGGGCCACGCCCCGCCCCGCCCCGCGCCGCGCCGATCTATCGCGCCGCCTGCCGTTACATCGTTACGGCGACTCGGTTTGCAAAACGGTAATGTCTCCGACAATGAATCAAACGCCTGCATGCACTTGGCCGACCGTCAGGCCCACTGTACAGTCACGCGAGACAGCGGCGGTCCGGCTGGGGGAGGTGGGGGAAGGGTGGCGGTGAAGCCGAAACCGTGGTCTTGCTCTTTCTAACCGTCTCTCTGTCGCTCTCTTCGTCTCACACGCGAAGGCGGACATAGTAATTCGCACGGAATGAAACCAGGGAAAGGCGGGTGGTAAGTGTGTGACGGGAATCTAGAGCGAGGCGAGGCGAACTCCCTCGGAGTGCTGAGAAAGACAACAGGGCACGGAGCACGGAGCGCGGAGCACCCCCTGAGGTCGTATCCATATCGGAAAGAGCACTCCATGCGGCCTTCGCAGCCTTCCGGGCCCCGCGGCGGCGCGGCACAGCGAGTACTGCATAGAAAGCACCCTCCCCGCGCGTGGCTCGCGAAAGCGGCGAAAGCCTCGAAGAAAGCCCGATCGGCCGATCGGTACGCTTCCGGCGCTTTCGTCGCGCTGCGGACCGATTCCGAGGGTCGTTCTCGTCGCTCTGTCTCTCTCGCACCAACACGGCACGCCCCATGAGTGCGAGGGAGACGGAGCGACGAGAACGACTGGGGGCGTTCAGGGCGTCCTGGGCGTGCTGCAGCACGTGGCCGTCGTGTCAACGTCCGCCTCACCAAGTGTCATTGTGAGGCGAAGGGGCGGGCTGCTCCCACACTGCCGCCAAGCGCCTCGCCGCGCCCCGCGGCCTTCAAGCCAGGCGGCCGTCAGAGGCCGTCAGATGCAGTTAGTTCGGTGTCCAGCCGACAGGTGGCGTGGCAGGGCCGGCAGGGTGGCTGTACCTGATGCAACGGGCGGGAAATAGCGGCAGGGCTCATCTCAGTGCAGCGGGCTGGCTCGCTGTCACACAGTGTGCTGTGCTGCAGGCTGATGCCGAGAGTCGTTTTCGTCGCGCTGTCTTTCTCACGCTCGCGGAGCGAGCCATGTAGGTGCGAGAGAGACTGTGAGTGTGGTAGCGGCCTGGCGGCCAGCACGCGCTGGCCCTGCATTCCCGGGGCAGGCCGGGCAGGGCGACACGGCGGCCCGGATGGGAATTGGACATTCCGGTCGACCGGCTGGCTGGGCTGGCATGCGGACGCGGTCCCCGATGCACCAGGGCGCCCAGGGCGGTTATGACGGCAGAGGGGGAATTGACATTTATTGCCGCGAGCACTCCCCCACCCCCACTCCCGCCAAAGGGGGCGGGGCGGCCCGGGGGCGGGCTGGGGGCGGCGAGTCTAACCTCACTCTGAGACCACCCCCAGGCCGCCCAGGCGACACAACCCCGCGCACATAACCTCACTCTCCGCGGCGGGGAGCTGGACGTGGCCGTCGTCGCCGTCCTCCGTCCGCGGCCCTGGTGACAGGCGGCCGCCGACGGCGGTCCCGCCGCGTTGACGGCCAGGTGCCGTTCGGAGGCCGCGGGGCGCAGGCCGACATAACCTCACCTTGTTTCCGGACGTGCATGGCCCAGAAGTCGTCCGGGACGTCCGCGTCCGCGTTGGGCTCCAGGGTGGCGGCTGGTGGCACCTTGGCGCCCTCCTTGGCCTCCACGACGCGACGGTCGGGCTCCTCCAACTCGGTGGCGCGCTCAGGCACGCATCGGCCGCGCACCGAGTACCGCGGAGTGCCGCGGAGGGGATCACGACGATGTCAAACTGGCTTGCTCGCCGCGCCAACCCCCGCGGACATATGTTCGGACCGTGTCGAAGCCCCGCTCTGCCGGACCACGGCCCGTCCGCCCCCACGGCCCTGCTCGGCGAACGCAGGGACGCGTGCCTGGATCAGGGCCTCCACCGCCTCCGTGCGCGCAGCAGCGCAGCACGACCCGCGTCCCGTGTCGCCGAAGCGCGAAGCGTGTGCCTCCGTGCTGCGCGCCGTGCCACGACCGTTCGCGTACTAGTACTATATACAGGGCAGGGCGGCCCGTCGCCCACCGTCGCCGCGCCGCCGCCTCCCTCTCCCTCCCTGCCTGCCGCGTCCCGCCGTCCCGTCCCGTCCCGCCGCCCTACGCTCCCCCATCCCTTCCTCTCTACGGCTGGGCTGCCCGCTGCCGCTAGGCTGCCGCTGCCGAGGAGGGTGAGGGCGCGGAGCTGCGGAGCCCACGCCGCGCTGCCACGCTACGCGTAGGGAAGGGAGTAGCGACGCCAGCCGCCTGGCCTCCCCGCCAGCAGCGTCGCGACGCCACGCCGCCGTGCCGCGCGGCGCGCGCTGCGACCAGGACGCCGAGTAGACTCGGTGGTCCGCACCGCGCGCACCGCGCCAGCAGACTCCTTCCCAGAGACGTTCCCATCCCATCGCTCTGTCTCCCTCCCGCCAATAGGGCGTCCCGTCACGGCGTGACAGAGACGCAGACGAAAACGACTCTCGGAATGAGTCTGCAGCGTAGGGCCGTCACCGTTCGCGTCAGCGCCCCGGCCGCCCCGCCGCCCCGGGCGCGGAACGTGACGGTGTGACGTCAATGTGGTGGCAATGGCCCCCTTTCCTTTCCCTGCCCCTGGCCTGGCGCCCCTGGACGTCGGCATGACTATCAGTCCGCCTGGCCAACGCCAAAGTGGAGGCGACGTGGACACGTCAACGCCGGGTCCATCCCCTCCGCTCCGATCTGCAACCCTCGATCTCGCCTTTTTCGCGCTGTGTCGACGGGCTGGGACACTGCATCATGATTCTGGACAGAGTTCGCGTCGCGCTCTCTTCCTTGCACCCCTACGGGCCGCCCCATGGACACAAGAGAGACACATCGACAAAAACACGGAGCCGCCATTGGCCGTTCGGACAGGACAGGCAGACCTGTGATAGATGCCCCGCTCCGGCGCGCATCTGCAGAGCACAGGGGGTGGGGGTGGGGGTGGGGGAGGGGGTTGCCGCAGCTCCCGCTGCACCAGCTGTCGCGACGGAGGCCGGAGCGCCGCGCCGCCCCCGGCCCGCCCCCGCGCCGCCCCCAGGCGTCCTTGCCCTCGATGTCCTGTCCACTCCATGCTCCCCCAGCCTTGCCCAGCCTCCGACGGCGGCCTCGACCTAGACTGGCAACCTGTCAGCCCCACAGGCCGTTGCGGCAGGGCGATGCAGTGGCCAGGCAGTGGCAGTGGAGTGGAGTGCAGGGCGGGCTGCAGGTCTGGCTAGTCTGGCCGGGTGGGGGTGGACGACTAGGACGACGCATGCACTGCGGGGCAGCCTTGAGTCCGGTCGCATAATGCATTTTTGGGTGGCGGTATTCGAACCCGGGCCAGTCACGTGAGCGTGGCATCGGTCCCTGGCCCAGGCCAGAGGCCCAGGCCCTGAGCAGCGCGCGCTGCGCCGGCCGAAAGGGAATGCCACCGGTGTCCGTCCCGTGCGTCTGTCTCTCTCGCACCCAGTCAGAACGCCCCACGGGTGCGAGAGAGACAGAACATCGACAGCCTTGGCGGTTCGACGGACCGGGTCGCAATGGCGGCTCGTAAAAATTGGCGTCTGCTTACGGAAGGCTTTGGTTATGGTAGGTCACGTGAGTCTGCCAGGCGCGGGGTCGCGGGGGAGGGGGAGGCGTTGTCGGGACCCTTGGCTGCATTGACCGGGCTGGCCTAGGGCCGCGAAGTGAAACCTATAAATAAGCTGGATCGGCGGGCCACGGCTCGGCAGGGCTCGGCACGGCAATCTGAGGTGCCGCTACACGCCACGCCACGCCACGCCCGGTCCACTAGGTGCCCCGTTGTCACCTGGTGTGGGCACGTGTTACGACCGTTGGCGCCCATTCCCACCGTCCGACTTATGACGACTTGCCGATCATGTGCCGCACGACGTGCTGCAAGACGTGTACCATGAGCTGCATGCACCTCCGCGGATTGGTTTGAATAAACACAGCAAAAAGTTACAAAAAAAAAACACACATTTATTTTCATTTAAACCATGTTAAAAGGTCACCCATAATGGTAACGTAATAGCACAAAAAAAAAATCATTTAAGTGAAAAAAAAATTAGTCAGTACACTACAATTTTCTTTGGATGATATATAAGTAAAGGAAAGGTTACAAATGTCAAGGAAGTAGAGAGAAAGCTGTACGTCACCTCATATCAAACAACAGCTGAATCAAATTACAATACAAAATGCAACAGCTGTTGTTGATTGGTGATAAGTACAAAACATCCTCATTATCACAACACTTTCAATACAAAGTTATCTTCATGACACAACATGAAAATATTAACACTTGGATGGAAAAAAATCTGAGAATACTCTATTTGAGTGATGAAATATGAATATTAAATTCAATATATATGTTTAAAAATATATTCACTTCCATAACAAAGAAATCACCTTGTCAGCAAATGGACAAATTTAAGATCAATTTAAGATCAAAAGTGAGCTGAACCAAAATGAAACTGTTCAACCATCACAAACACACTACAGTACTTTGTTTCCCACTGAAAAAAAATTTCTATCAGAATCAGAATTCCACAAAAATATAGGAGTGACAATTATTTTGAAAGATAAAATGTTTTCTAGGCAGAATTGACAGCAAAATTTTTTCAAACTGTAAAGTAGTTTGTTTTACTGCTACCATAGCAGCATACGTTTATATAGGTGAAGCCTACATACACTGATAATGGAGAAATAGATTATAGATGCTACACAGGCTTACTCAGAACATTTGAATCTTATCTACTCTATTGATTAAAATGAACACTCAAATGTGTGATGAATGTAAGTGGTAAGGTTTGACCAAAAGTACAAATTGAACAATTCCAAAGCTACACAAAGTACAAAAAAAAAAAAAAAAAAAAAAAAATCTGAGCGTTGATTTTTTTTTTGTTTAGAAATTGCCAATGTTCTTAAGTACGCATAAAGGCAGCTTTGAAAGAAGAAACTAGGGGAGAATACGGATGGTGGATATTGAGCACTGTCCCACAAGGCCTGACACTGCAGGTGAGCAATCCCAAAACAGGATGAAAAAGTGTAGGCCAGTCAGTCAACCTAGACCTGCGGGACAGCAGAGTCATAATTTTGAAGTGAATGACTTAAGATGGAGAAAGTTCCTTTTTTCAGCCTAGCAAACTAGAAATGAAATGAAGAGTAAACTGGTCAATCAACATAGTGTAAAGGCCTTGGTCTTGTTCTCCACTGGTTATGGCAGTTATTGGAATACAACACGTGATAAGTACTATTTACCTAAAACAACACAGGAAAAAGAAAGATCAACAACAATGAAACGGTCTTGCACCACAAGTAGCCTCATCACAAAGTTATGTTCATGATAGTCCACTTGGAGTCTAAGAACTTTTAGCGCGTCATCTGAGGAGAGTCTTGAGAAAATGGCAGTGAATGGACACAAATTATCCATTAAATAATCACATTACTTCTGTAGCTTCACAGAAAATCCTGAAGTCCATTTAACAAAACATGTCATTTGTTTGCCATAGCACTTAACTCCACAGGAGTCATTAAAGGACTTTGTAAAAAAATGACACTATGTATCAAAATAAATTGGGTAGAAAGGTCAGAGTTGGTACTTATAGAAATGTTCGGAACAACCTTCACGAGTTCAATCCTTTGAAAGAATGCAATAGGGTTGGAGTAGAACTGTTTACACACAGATAGTTATCATCAATTTTTAAACGTATGAATTAAAGACATTAAGATATTAAAAAAGCACCAAAAACTGAACCGAACTCCCCAATTTCTCCAAAATGCTAGTCCTAGAAAATTCACAAAAGTACAAAATGAGAACTTCAATTATTTGCAAAGATAACGGTCCAAGCACATCAGTATCAGCATGAGCTAGCATTGTCTCTTACACAACTAAATTATCTCTCTAGAGCTGAAATGGGAAATGATGTGCCAGCCAACACAAATTCTGAGAAGGCTAGCCAAGTTGCTACCAGGGAAAAAAAAAGTTGTTTAAAAGTGACCATGAAAAGAAAGATAAGGCAAATATAGCTGAAAAATAGGGTCATCCTTGCCCACTTGTGAAGGAAAGCACTCTTTGGTTCGCAATTTTGTGAATTGAAGATCGAAGTAGATTCAGCACAGCAATCACAGAAAATGAGACAAGCTACGTACAATAATATCCCCATATTGTCAGAACCTCTGCCAAAAAGGAAGTCCTTCTTGAAAGGGGTGAATTAAGACTCTCAGAAGCATACAATGTGGATATTAAACATTCAAAAAAAAAAAAAAAAAGGTTTAGCCAAAAATCTTACAATCTATAGCATCATTGATGCAGTTTTTAAAATGTTACAAGTATAAAATAGATTGAACCTATCTTACCAAAAAAAATCTAATGTAACCAAATTGAAAAGAAAACCTTTTGCCGCCCAATTAAGAAAACAGAAATCAAAGCCTTCCAGAAAACAAAACAAAACTAAAAAACGGGTAAGTCATTTTCAAACTCAGCATAGTTGAATATAAAAGCACTTCATGTGAATAAGTATACAGTAATAAATGACAATGAAGTTTAAGAAATGAGGCGTGGTAAAATAATTCAGCCATCTATGAATCACACACCAGTACAACTAAATGTACGGCAGGATAGTTACCAATCAATGGTTGTCGGTATCACGGGCTTGAGCATAATTTTAATTGTCTGGCCGCTCCTACAGAGTAAAGTCTCAAGATATCTCGAGCAACAATGCCCAGAGAGAAAAAAAATAGGACGAGTGACATTTCTCAATAGATTAGAGACAAGGGCAGTGTGGATTCCATTGAATCTGTAGACCCAAACAAATAGTGAATAAATTCAGCGTGTATTTATTACTTTGAACAACTCAACTTTTGACTTGCAGCTGAGATCAGAACACCCACCAACCGATAAAAGATTTTGGATTTCGGAATCAAGACAAGAGGGAGATTGAGGGAAACTTCAGCGTCATGACATGGCAGACTCATGTTTTGTACAAGGACCGATTAACGCCGCCGTCTTCGTCTTCGCCCTCCACGGCTCAAGGGGAAAGTGATACTGGACAAGAAAAGTTCTTAGTCGGCACCGAACCCAAACGCCACCGAAGCGAGTCCCCTGGACGAGGTCTGAGGGCCCCTAAAAGTGGAGCAGGTGGTCCCTGCTGGCCGAGTTGGAGGTCGAGAAGGATGTCGAGGCGGAGGTGGAGGTCGACGGCGCCGGGGCCGCGAAGGTCGAGAAGGTGTGGGGGCCTGGCCGGGCGTCCCAGGAACCGCGGGGCGCGCGCACCGTCTCGTCGGCGTCCTGGTGGAGGCGGCCGCGGTGCCGCGCCGCCGGCCTCGGTAGCGTCGCCACGAACGTTGTGATCCTGGTGGAGTGGCAGTCTGGCGGGCGGCGGCGCGCTGTCAAGGCGCCAGCCTCGGCGTGCAGGCCGTGGAGGCCGTGCAGCAGGTGCAGCCGGGACAGGCGCTCGTCCACGTAGTCCAGGTGCGACGTGCACGACGTGCACGACGTGTACACGGGCGGCGGGGGCGGCATGTAGGGGGGCGGAAGGTACGGCGGCGGCCTCGTCCGCAATGTCGTCGACGCGTACGGCGGCGGCGGCGGCAGGAAGGCGGGCGGCGCGGGCGGCGTGTACGGCGGCGGGGTGACGGGGGCGGGCCCCCGGGGCAGACGCTAGCAGCGCTGGTTCTGCAGGCACCGCCAGTGCGTCAGGTACTCCGGGTACGACACCGACACCTTCTCGCTCTGGTAGCGCACCAGCTTGATGCCCCGCCGCGTCTCGGGCGTCACGGCGCCCTTGAAGCCGCCCTTGCGGAGCAAGGAGTCGATCGTCTGGATGCGGTCCCACCCTGCAACACGGAGGAAGAGTCAGCATTCACCTCCCCCACCCACTCATCTGACTTTGGGAACGAAAGGGTTTTCTGGGGTTTGCCACAGTCTCTGGCGAGAGTGTGCTACTGTCCGGACCGCGTCCCATATTGATCCGCGTGCCGTGTCTGGTCCGCCAGGTCCGCCAGAGATGCTAGCAAGCAGCCCCGCCTCGCGGCCATGCGCCGCGTCGCCGCCAGGGCCTAAGTGACAGTCCGAATGACAGCGGGGCGGCCAGCAGCGCGAGAAAGGTCGGGGGAAGGGGGAGGGGGGGAAGGTGTCAGCTACCCGCACCGAATAAACGGGCGCACACCGTCCAAAGTAATTAATTAATCCCAAGTCATCTCAGGCCCTCAACCTCCCATGCCCCCCTCACAAAAAAAAAAAAAGACTCGAAGGTCTGGTATTTGAACCCGCGTCCGTTGGCGCTCACCTTGCTCGGGCGCCACTTCAGGCAGGTAGGTGGCCGAGCGCTTGCCGCCCTTCTCGTTGTGGAACTCGATGCGGATGCCGTGCACGCCCACCTCCCAGTCCAGGTAGTCCTGCGCGTCCTCGAAGTGCCGCAGGATGGACACGGCGACGCGCAGCCGCGGCAGCTCCTCGCGCGTGATGGGGCTGAAGCGGGAGTCCCGCATGGCGCTGCAAAGGGCGATCCAGTCTCAGCAGACGCGCACCGACAGTCGCTCTCGTCGCTCCGTCTCTCTCGCACCCACAAGGGACGCCCCAGAGAGACAGAGCGACGAAAGCGACTCTCGGAATGAGTCTGCAGCTAAGGGACGAGCTAAGGCCGAGAGGCTCGAGGTCATCAACCGCAGACCATTGATTGCCATTGCTGATCGTCATGTCATTTGATGATCGTCAAGGATTGCGGATCATCAAGGTCAGCTCGGCATCAAGAATCGCCTATCATCAAGAAGAGAGCACATCGTCAAGAATCATTTTACTTTAGTCGAAAATTTTTTTTGTTTGGTTTGCTTGATTATGCTGTTTAAATGCCACAATCCACAATGAATGAGTTTCTAAAAACAACATTACAGCCTGTATTTTCCAATTTATAAGAAGGCACTTACTGTTTGCAGTAGAGCTTGGCAAAATTGTTTGCTTTCAGCAAAAAAAAATATATGTAAAGCAAACTACTAGATTTCCGTTTCACAAGCAGCAACTACAGAATGTTTAATTATATTCTGGCTGACTGTTAAATAGCTATGTTTTGTTACGACTTAGGAATTGTGCTTTGATAGTGAAACGAACATACCTTGTGACAGCATATTCTCGAAGTCCGCAGTGCAGATTCATGGCTGAGAATGTTCCAATGCAACCACGCAACCGTCGGTCTTTTCCAATTTCCCATGTGACGAAGAGTGGGCTGCAAGGAGCAAGAGCATACAAGAGTTAAAAATTCAATTTGCATTGAAGTCTAAAATAGACCACTTTGATTCTTCAGCAACAGTGCGAAAAATGAAAACAAAGGAACGGTGATGAGTGGGCAAATGTGAGCCAGACAAAGAATCAGAGACATTGCAAGAAATCAATAAATGGCAATGACTGTGGTTTTAAAAAGTACCACCTCACGTTACAATACACGAAACCCAAAAAAAGATCAATCAAAAGTATGCGTAAGGTCACTTTGCAAGAGACACCAAACACAAAGAAACCAAAACAACAAAGGAGCACCGTCCTCATTCGATAGTAAACCGTGACAGGAGAACTTTTCGAAAACAATTTCTACTAGCTAGTCACGAGAAACTGAAATAGTACCATGATCGGTACACGGGAATGGACAACAAGACGCCAAATGTTGGTAAATATGGTATCCGTCCGAAACTTGAAGAGGTTAGGTTCCTCTGCGGAGACGGGACCAATGACCTACATAACCAATACGTCCACTCGAAAAACCGCCAAATCGGGGGCGGAGGGGCATCGGAATGGTCCCCGCGCACGCACAAACCACACTCACTAGGGGTCGTTGCTGAACTTGGGGTTCTGCGGCGCCTCCAGGCTGTGCAGGTGATTGTACAGCACGTCGAAGCAGAAGAACCCCATCTCCGGCTGGGCCACCATCCCATTCTTGATGCCGTTCAGGACGTTCTGCATGGCGTGGTCGCCGTGCTCGCCCTCGGCCGTGCCGTTGGTGCCGTTGGTGCCGTTGCAGGCCACGCTCGACGAGTTGTTGAGCTTCTGTTTCTTGGCGCCGCAGCAGCCCGAAGCCATGGCCACTCTGGTTCTGGTCTCTGGTTCACGTCCCTGCGCTCCTCCGCGCCCCCCAGCTGTCCGACCAAAGCCAGGCCCGTCCTTCCTCCTCGATGCCGAGCCCCGTCCAGACGGTCAGGCCCCGCAGCCCCGCCAACGGGTTGCCTAGATGACGGGCAAAACCACTGCAACCAGCCGTCCGTCGTCCGTCCACCCCTGCGTCCCTGCCACCCTCTGTCTCTGTCGTTTCGTCTGACGTCCTGGCGGCTGTCGGCGTGACGTCACTTGTTTGGCTTTCGGCCAATGGCGGCTGGCCTGGGCCGCCCCACCACCTCCGCCGCATCAGCTGATTCGAGTCCCGGGGTGGGGGCGGCCAGCCAGCGCGGGCGATGGGTTGCCTACCTTTCTGGCGCTACCCCCCGCCTGTCCGTCTGTCTGTCCTCGACGCAGCGCGCCTGTGTGAATGTGAGAGGAGAGGAGAGTGAAACACGAACTCGTTCTGGTTGATAGTTTATTTCGCTTCGCTAGAATGCTGTCTCGTCGTCCGTGCACAACTCGCGCGCACGCCGAAACAGACCGGACATCGAGGGATATGTTCGCTAAGGGATATGATACAGGGACAGTGGATATGCTTGGCTAGAACAAGAGGTCGATATGTGGACGTCGCTATCTATGGCACATCAGCAGCAGCAGCTTGGAGACAGACTCCGCCGTCTCTACTCCACGCGCCAGCCCCCGGCCCCGCCAGCCCGCGGCGCTACCCCTCGCAGTCAGCGCGGGGTAGCTTCGCCTGCCGGCAGAGGAGGGAAGGACACTGGCAGTGGTGGAGGGGGGGGGGAGTCAAGCAGAAAAATGGATGGACTCAAGCGTTCGGGGCGCAAACCGTGGACGCGGCAGCGCGGCCCGCCCCGGCTAGTTTGCGTCTCTCTCGCACTCACGGGGCACCCCGTCGGAGCGCGAGAGAGACAGAGCGAGGAAGCTCTGGCGGCGCGTGGGGAATGACCGCAAGGCGAAGCAAGGCGAGGCTGGTGCACGCAAACAGATGGGCCGCAGTGTTTTACTGACACCCTTCAAGTCCAGCCAGGCCCTGCTCCGCCACGCTCCGCCACGCTCCGCCGACCTGGGGCATTCCAGGGCCTCGCCTCAACGCTACCCGCCGAGAAACGCCAGCGAGTCGGTGCGCATCCAAATCCAAATTTGAATTGAAAATCGAAATAAAATTGAAAATCGAAATCAAATCGATTCGGGAAGTCCCATGCAGACGCGCTCTAGCAACCGGGATCGACGACTACGGCCTTGTGGTTTTGTTTATCGCGGTGAGTGTAATATTCGGAATTTCGTCAGTGAATAATCAGAAACGAAAGGAACTGAAACAAAAATGCACAGCTCAGCAATAATTATACACATTAAATAACACTACTGTACTGTATCCCGAAACGTTACCATAATGTATGTACACACATATTTTTTTTTAAATCGAATGTTATAACAGTCTCAACGAATTGTTTCCTACCTATTTCTCCTTGCTCATCCCAAAACAACTGACAAACATAAAGATACGTATTATTGTCATAAAAGTTTCCCGGCCCAGAAGCGACCTGTTCCCTGCAGCTTGTGATATGTGCGGCTCCGGGCCGGGAGTAACTTGAACCCCTCTCCGTTGCCAAAACGACAAGCAAAACACTTACACCTAGAAACGTCTTTTTAAAGCACTCACGAGCATTCATGGCGTCGTGAACCTGCACGAATTAAATCTGTATTAAAGATTAACAGTCAACAAACTTCGCGACACTACTACACGGATGAGGAAGCAATTTTTCTTTTTAAATGCCGATTTCTACCTTAAAACTTACGTGGTCTACCTGATCTCCAGAATCCCGGATGGTTTGTCCCAATTGACGAGTATTGCTTTCCGAAATAAAGCTATGTGCAGCGCTCGGTAAAATTGACTAATTATTTGCCGTCCTTATCTCTATGTAGCCAACAACAACAACAACATCATTCCCGCCATTCAAAAACAATAGTTTCCTAAAGTCTGGCCGCATCGAATCTCCATCACGACTGCGCTGGATGGGGGGCCCTCCCGCGAGACTACATTATGACACATTGTAACAAAAACAACACACACACGTTTACGTTTTGAGCACGGCATTTGACAGTCCGGGGCGTTCCAATTGCAGCCACTCTATGGCATGCTTCTCCAGCTTTTATCGCTGCCTCGAAAGGGGAACAGGAACTGCGACGGTAAATCTTATTGTCACTCTCACTGCGTTTCGGGAAACGGCGCGCGTTCCGAAACAACAACGTCCACGCCGATGACAGTTTGTGGTTACTTTCCGACCGGCAGCGAGCGGGCGAATCTGGCGTCCCCTCCGAGGGCCTTCGAGGCCTTCGGCCAGCCGCGCGGCCCGGACCACGTCGTTCCGGAGCCTTCCCCGGGGGCGCGGTGGACGTCGCCGCCGTCCTGGCGGAGTCCTCAGCGCCGACCCGCGAGGACGCCGACGAGGCCCGCGGCCAGCAGGGCGGCGCCAGGCGTCTGGCGGTCCGTGGAGCCCGGGATGTCGTTCCAGCGGTCGCGGCGCCGCGGCGGCGACTTGGTGGACGCGTCCCAGTGCGGCGCCGTGGCCGTGGCCGTGCTGTCGCCCAGCTGCTCCGTGGACGAGGCCGCCCCCTCCTGCTCCTGCGGCTGCTTCTTGCGGCCCTGCTTGGCCAGCGTGTCCTTGCTGTGCGCGGGGGTCTTGTTGTTGGCGTTGGTGCTCTTGTTCCGGTTGCGGTGCTTGCCCGGGTCGTGGGAGTGCCTCGGCGGCGTGGTCGAGGTCGTGGTGCTGGGGGACACCGGCAGGTGCAGCTCTGGAACACCAAGACTTTTTATAGTGGACGAACCGCGACGACGAGGTCGACGCTCGGCCTCGCCACTGAGCCAAGGGGGCAATCATGGAGCAGTCGGGCACGCGGCACCAGACCGTGTGGCCGGGGATCCCCATCGGGATGGATCGACTGGCGCTAAATCGTCTGAGTTGATTATTGGCGAGCGAGTTAGGCCCGGCCAAGCCCCGTCTCGGGTTTCTGACGAGCGGTGAGGTCAGATCCCCTACTCCTAGCCGACGTTCGACTGAATTTCCGGGTCGGGGCGCGAAACTGGTGCACTCACACACTCGCACTCCCCATCTCACGCACACAGCCGTACGCACCTTGCAGGCGGATGTTCCCCTCGGACTTGCCCAGGACGTTGACGGAGGAGCAGACGTAGCCGCCGAAGTCGCGCTTGGCCAGGCCGCGGATGGTGAGGTTCATGAGCACGGCGTAGTCCGACAGCTGGATCTCCTGCATGATGTACTTGTCGCCCTGGACCAGCTTGTCCATCTCGTGGGCGCCGCCCGCCGCCATGGTGGCTGCGGCAGAGAGGCAGACAGGCACGGCAGGTCAGGGCAAGGCGCGCTCAAAGCAGCATTATAATAAAATGACGCCGGGCAGGGCGCGGCGCGGCTCGTGTGGGGGACCACTTTCGCCACCAAAAGCCTGAAAGTGCCAACCGAGGTGTATGTGAACCACCGCCCGCCGCCACACCCGCGGCGGGGGAGGGGAGGGGGGGGCACACCCGCGCCCATTAACGGCGTGGGCGGGCACCCCTCCCCCTCCCCTCCCCCCAACCGGGGCGGGTGAATTACGACTGCGCGTTTACGTCAGATTATAGAATGCCTGAGATTCCCTTCCCGGGGCGGAAGGCCGGGCCGGGCCCAGGCGGCCCAGACCGCCGGCTCTATAAAAGATGTGCGAAGTCCCCCCTATTCTGCCTCGGCGTCTCGCTCGGCGTACGGCGGGACGCGGCGACGCGGCGGAGTGTAGGGCGCGGAGGGCCCCTTCGTCACTCTGTCTCTCTCGCACTCTCGGGGCGTCCCGTATGGGTGCGAGAGAGACGGAAGGGGGAAGACGACTCGGAATCGGTCTATCCGCCCCGGCAGAGCCCCTGCGAGGCATCGGCTCGCACTCACACACACTCACGCGCACACACACACACACACACACACACACGCATACACACGCATATGAGACCGCGCACACACTGACAACGCGACACGGCGAATATAGTGTCGCTACACGCCGCGAACATTCGGCCGCCCTTGAAGAGGCCTACTATTACCACGTCCTGGTACTAAGCGAGTCCCACGAAGTCAAAATAACACGACCAAAAAGGGTGTTGGAGAGGCAGGTCAACTTAAGGTGAGCTTACCGCTCTCCCGCCACCACGTGTTCATGGCCTTCGGGGAGGCCTCCACGTAGCACTGGATGATGACGTCACTGTAGGCCGGGGCCGCCACCAGTTGGTTGGACACCTTGATGAGCGGCTCGACTGCAACAGACAGGCAAACGTTCAGAGATGTTGCCATGAATGGGATCTATATCACCACTCCTGATTCAAGAAAAAAAAATCAAAAAATTAACAACATCAGCAAACAAATAAATTTTACAAAATTTCAAATGTTGCACAAAGATTTGTCAGCTAGTATTAGAGTATGCGACGGCTGAATATCAACGCGTCAGCTCACAAGTCGGTTTTCGGAAACACATTTTTCAGCCTTCTCGCCATGCGACTGGCCGACGGGGTGCGGCCCCAGCCCCGTCGGGGTGCGAGAGAGACAGAGAGCGATGCTGGGACGCGGTCTGCAGGGCCGCAGGATTGCCCACCCGGTTGCCACCGGGAGCGCAGGGAGCGCGGCCGCCCGAAGGACCGTCGCTCTGTCTCTCTCGCGCGCTCGCGGGGGCTGATGGGGGCGCGCCGTGAGTGCGAGGGAGACAGAGCGACGAAGCGGGCCTTCGGAATCAGACGGCGGCAGGGAGCGCAGCTCGGCGCAGCCCGCTCGGTTCCCGCTCAATTTGCGCAGTGCCATTACTTGCAGGCAGAGCCAGCAGGCCGAGTCCGAGAGCCGTCCTCGTCGCTCTGTCTCTCTCGCACCTGCACGGCGCGCCCCATGAGTGCGAGAGAGACAGAGCGATAAAAACGACTCTCAGTCGCCACAGAGCAGCCCGCCCAGGCCTCGGCTGCAGAGCCCGCCGCGAGACTAGCCGAGGGTGGGCGAGGCTAGTCGGCACACCGTGTGCATGTGTGTGTGTTTACGTTTGTGTTGGTCTGTGTGTAAGGGGGTGGGGGCGCCGCCGGTTAGGTTTTCCACTAAAGCAGTGACACTTGTCAGAGTGCGCGCGGGGGGTGAACTTTGGTCGACGCGGTCGAGAGGGGGAGTTGCAACGCTGCCGAGAGAGAGAGAGAGAGAGAGGGAGAGAGAGAGAGGAGAGAGAGAGAGAGAGAGAGAGAGAGAGAGAGAGAGAGAGAGAGAGAGAGAGAGAGGGGCGGGACACACCTGTTATGGCAGACCGCTGCTAGCCCTGCTAGCTGTGCAACATGTTCCTCTCCGCCTCTCAGCTTTCACAGACAGATGATTTAATGAACTGTGTTTCCCTCCCTCCTGCATTCGATCAAGTGCCGCTGCCTCACGCACACAGACACACACAGACTCACACAGACACAGCCGTGGCCCGTGAGTGAGCCTGTTTGTCACCGCCCCTCGCGCGTCCGGGGGATGTAGCTTGTCCACTATTGCTGCTGCCAGCGGGCAGCCAATATTGAGACTTAAACACACACACACACACACAGCCACAGTCAGAGGCAAGGCAGAGGGACCTAACCTTTCCACGCGTCGGCGGCAATCCTGTCTGCAAGTCTGCCCTGATGCCCTTCTGGAGCACGGCTTGACAGGAGTCAGCCCGCCCCGCCCCGCCCGCCTGGACGCCAAGGCTGGCGGAGTCCGAGTCGACGGGGACGTCGAGGCCTTAGCGTGGCCTTAGCCTCGGCCATTTCGACATCTCCAAACAACAAGGCCAACAACAAGAAAAGAAACTCGTGACCTGGCCCCTGGCTGCCCCTGGCTGCCCCTGGCGCCGGGCCGTGCGGCCAAGCTCGTCGAGGCCCCCGTCGAGGCCAAGCCCGGCATCACCTTGATGGGCGCGGCCGGGCCGGTGTGTCCGATCTGAAGGGACCTAAAAGGACCGGGAGGGAGGAGCAGGATTTGCGGGATTTGGACTTACAGGGCCGGGATGGAACGGGGATGAAACAGGAAAAGGGGTGAAACCTCGGCGCCGTCCTGCGGGACGTCCTGGACGTCCTGGACGTCGTGGACGTCGCCTGACATTCCACTCCCCGGCTGGCTTGGCCCCGACGCCCACGCACAAAAAATAATAAATAAAACTGGCACAGGAATGACAGGAATAAACAACAAGTTTTGTTACATTCAAAAAGTGGTGATGTTATTTTCCCTAACAGAACGACAACTTGGCGATGATGAAGCCACTGCCCTACAGGCCGTGCCTTTGGCTGCCGTAGGCCTCGCAGGCATGCCGCGCCGTGGCGAGCCGCGCCGTCACAGCCGGTCACAGCCAATGGCACAGCCCATGGCACAGCCGCACAAAAAGGTTTGATTCAGGACGGCAGCCCTTTTGAAGCTGCAGCCGCGATGCCTCGCGACAATTGACCGGATGAGCTGGCTGGAGTCTGCCGCTGGAGTCCGCCGCTGAAGCCACTGCAGCGCGGACAATGCGGCCAGGGTTTTTAGCCGCTCGGACTTTTAATCTGTATTGCAGAAATTCCGTCCAACGACGTGGGAATGCGAGCACTGCAGCGCGGGGCGGTCTCTGCGGGAAGGGTGCTACGCAGGGCTACGCAGGGCTACGCAGGGCGACGCAAGGCTGCGTAGTCTCAGGACCGGCACACAGTGGGCCAGAAGACCGGTGGAGGGTCTTCTGGCCCACTGTGCCACAGCCGGCGAACCAATCGAGAGAGTGAAAGTACTCGGTACTCACAGTGGACCTGCACCTGGTACCGCTTGCTGACCGCGGGCGGCACCCCGTTCGTGGCGATGCACAGGTAGGTGCCCATGTCCTGCCTCATGACGCCGGAGAGCGCCAGCACCGGCCCCGCCACCGACCGCACGGCTGCCAACATTTAAAAAAATAAAATAACAGAGACGCACGAGGCACTTTGACCGTGTAACAAATGGCGGTGGCATCACGGGCCTATGTGTATGTATCGCTCCATCGCGCGGCCCAGCCAATTTAGCTACATTTTTTTCTTTTTTTTTTGCTGCCTGCAAAGAAATGTTGCCCACCCTGCTTCTCGCGGCCGCCGTCGTGCCTGAAGACGATGTTGGCGGTGTCCTCGCGGCGCCAGCTGACGGTGGGCTCGGGGACGCCGACGGCCGTGCAGCGCAGCATGACGCTACCGCCCTCGCGCGCCACGCCGCTCGTCTCGGAGGAGTCGTTGCTCAGGATGTCCGGCGGCACCACCACGGACAGCGACCCCATCTGCAACCACAGAACCTTGAGGGACTACACTGGACTCGAACCGCGCGTGTGACCCCACCAATGGATTCCTCGTGCGGAGAGCAATCCATTGGTGGGGTCACGCGTCCCGTTTGGGTCCCATTTAGCGACTCTGGAGCTCAAAACGCGTTTCGAGTTTTGGCCGGCTCCGCCGGTCCTCTGGCCCACTGTGCTGCCCCCGCCACTGCCAATAGCTTATTGGCCGCGCCGCCACCTCGCCACCTCGACATCCGAATGGGGAATGGAGGTGCGCCCTCCAGCCCTGCGGCCTTTTGGCCTTCCGGATCCCTCCGCACGTGCCATGTGGCCCCACGGCCCCGCGGCCCCGCGGCTCAAGAGGGACTGATTGGGCTTTTCTTCCCTTGGCCCGGCTCGGCTCGGCTCGGCTCGAAGGGCGCCGGATCGCGGAGGCACGAGAAAGAGCGAGGAAGGGGATTTGAGAGGTCTAATACCGTAAGCAAAGTCCGGCGGCGGGGCGGAGCGGACCGAGGCGGGGGAGGCGACAGACTGACTCCGAGTTGGTCTTTCTCTCTCCCTCTCAGTGGGGCCCACTGACTGCCCCGGCCTCGGCGGCCCCACTCTGGAAATATGGAAAAGATTGGCGCCAAATTTGAACGCCAGGGGATTAAAAAGTTACGACGCTGCCGGCTGAAAGCAAGCAGCCGACGCGGGGCGCTGCAGCACTGCAAGGGGTCCAGGCAACGTGCGGAGGGAGAGCCTGGAACGCTACCCGCATCTCAACACGCCTGTGTGCTTCAAGACAGCTGCTAAAAAGACGGAGGTAAAATTAAGACCCAGCTGCGGTCGAAGGCCTTGCTGACTCCGGGTGACTGCGTCCAATCTAGCCGAGCCGTGATGAGAGGCGTCTCTCAACGTACCGGCACTCCTGAGGCCCTTACTCTTTCTTGACCCGCCTTTTGGAACGCCTTGGCCTCATTTAGTTTGGGGGCACCGGACCTCGCAAAGTTGGTCAAAATGTGGCCGATTCTTCCGCCTGCGCGGTTTGCCGATTTTCCTGCGCGGGTCGATTTTCCGCTGCATCCCACTGCCCCTCGTGCAGGCCGTTAGCGACAAGGCCGGGGTGGCACCGCCGCAATGCTAGCCGACTGGGGGACCACCTTAAGCCCGGGCGAATTAAAACCAAATCCCGCCTCGGGTCGCTGTGGTCAAGCTATGTGCATTTCTGCCCGCCTGTCTGCCCGCCTGTCTGCCCGCCTGTCTGCCCGTCCTTCCTTACCTGGGACCGCATCGGCTCCGTGTTGATCTGGCACATGTAGGTGCCGTTGTCCGAGGGCTGCACGTTGTTGACGTGGAGACGCCACGTGTTGTGGCCGTTGTGTGTGACGGACAGCCGCTGGTTGTGCGCCACCAGGTGGGTGTGGATGGCCAGGATGGCCTTCGTGTCCGACTTGATCCACGCCACCTAAAGCAAAAACCAATTTTGCAAGAAAATGTTTCGACAAATTTTGTTGTTGCCTCGGAAGGTAGATGCGAATTCCATCTGTTTCTCTATCGGAGGAAACAAAGAGGATGAAGTGGTGAGCTCGAGAGATCCCTCTTTCTGGACCCCAGCTGCATCCTACCCCACGCACTATATCAATCAACTCTATACAGCAAAAGTTGTTTCCCCCTCGCGTCTCGCGCGCTCTGGAAGAGAAACGAAAATCTTGTTTGAGGCCGAGAAGACACCGAATCAGCGAGTATTGAAAGCAGCGCAGCGGCGAAATCCGAGCCGCAGGGCCGCAGGCTTCTTGCGGCCTCCCCACTGGCCGAGAGCCCCGCCGAGGATGACCTTCCCACTTTCTGATTGGTTGGCCGAGGCCGAGGCACGTACCACCACACTGTCGCCAGTGCTGCTACAGAGGAGGGAGCCACTGCGTGGCTTTCCGATAGAAGTACAAAAAAATAGTTGCCCATTTTTCAGTTGGAACAGTGGAGTCCTTGGGCCTCCTTCCTGGTTTGAACAACGGAAGCACCGCGAAAACAAGACCTTAAACCTCGTGTGCCTCTCAGCGGCCCGGGGGCCCGTTTAATGCCAAAGGCAGACAAAGCAACATGCTCGAGCCGCGAGCACACTCGTTCACGTCTAGTCCCCTCTGGTTACTCTGACGTTAAGGGACTGAGCCGCTGGGAGCCGCCACTGTAAGTCCCCCGCCTCCTCCCGCAACGCTCCGCCACGCCGCCAGCCAAGATTCTTTCACATGAGTGGGGTCGGGGAGGGGAGGGGGACGGAGCTCCCCGGCGAGCGAAGCGGCCGGGGCGGCGCAGCGCGTCTGGTGGTGCATCGAGTCGCTATCCCTCTGCGGCAGCTAATTGCCAGAAAGTCTTACTGCCAAGTGGCAGACTCCAGCGTGGCTCCGACAAGACGTGGCGGCGGCTCACGCTCTCGAGCTGGAGGACGCGAAGCCCCTCGCGAGGCTCGACCGCGGCGGCGGCGCTCCGGTAAGCTCCTCCCTGTCCTCAGCGCAGCGAAACGGCATTGTTCATTGTTCGCAGGGAAGTTGCAAATTTGCACAAGGGTTCTATTTTTCCGTGGCGAATCCGTTGAGCCGGCGAGCCGCTCAGCGGCCTGACCTCCCGACCGACCTGTTGTAGTTCGCAGCGCAAGGGGCGGCCGGTGCTGCAGCGCGCCGTACCGTGCCTGGCCGTGCTTGGGGTGGGCATTATCAAACAAACAGAGAGCAGCACGGTCGCCCTCCCTGCGGCCCTCCGCCACACAAGTTAGTTTTCTGAACCATTTAACAAGAAGGGCCGGCTTGGACTAATGATTTAATTTAACTCATTCTCCCCAGTAATCTCTGAGCAAGACGCCTGCTCGCTCGCTCCCTCCCTCCCGGCGCCGTCGCGCTCCAGTGCCTCACCCTGTACGGCCCGAGCTGGTCCACGATGCATGTGAACTGGACGTCCCGGCCCTGCGACGCCGTCATGTTCTCCAGCGCGGCCAGGAACTGCGGCTCCGGCTCGTTGGGCTGAAGCTGCACCTGACCTGCCGACAGAGAAGAACAAGGTTCGGAAAATGGAAAGAAAACATGCGCGATGCTTCTCCCGCGTCGATGTTGGCGTCCTCCGCGGGAAAGGGCCCTAAAAC